CGACCGACAAAAACTAAAAAACCAAAGCAAGCAAACAAACAAAAGCAGTGATGCCCCCCTCCCCCTGCCCAAATCTACAGCGGTGACCCCAGGAAACTGAGTCACAAACTCTGTAGCAATTGGTTCTATATTGTCAGGATGGAATCAATCACTCCCAACATTTCTTTTTTCTCCTCCTCCTCCTCCTCTTCTCTCCTTCTCCTCCCCTCTTCCTCCTCCTCCTCCCCGATCTCCTCCTCCTCCTCCTTTTCTCCTCCTCTTCCTCTCCTCCTCCTCCTGCTCTCTTCTTCCTCCTCCTCTCCTCTCTCCTTCTCCTCCTCCTCCTGCTCTCTTCTTCCTCCTCCTCTCCTCTCTCCTTCTCCTCCTCCTCTCCTCCTCCTCCTCTCCTCCTCCCTCCTTCCTCCTTCCTCTTTCATCCTCCTCCTTGTCCTTCTTCTTTCCCTACATCTAACTTGGGATCGCTAGAGAGTGCTAGATAAGCAATAACAGATCACACAGAACACTCTACCTGAGCTTCTCCCACCTCCTGGCTCCGCATGCCAATGGGATCCCTGCCTGGGCCAGGTGCACCTGTACCTCCCCCCGCCCCACTACTACTCTGCCTTCCTTTCCTTTCTTACTCTCAGACCCATGAACAAACAGGCGGCTTTCTCTCTCATTTGGGTGGTCTTCCTTTATGTCCACGTTTTCTTTCCTCATTGTGCAGTTGCTCAGAAGTTAGAGAAGATGACTTCAAGGGGGCGGCTTCTGTGATGACGACATGGTGGCTCTGGGGGTGAAGAAGTTGGAAAGGAGGGAGGGGGTGAGGACACCAAGCCGGCTGCAGGGTGGCACTGGAAAGGGGGAGAGAGAGGCTGGCGGCACACAGGCTTCCCCAGGGCTGCCCAGAAGGGACAGCGCCCTTTTCACACTCTCCACGACCTCTTCTAAATGGTGTGCACACGTCTGATCTCACCCACAGACCTGTGCAGCTCCAACAGATGCTTTTGTTCCAATTTTGAGGGGGAAAACAATGAAATTCCTCCGGGTGGTTGAGGAGAACAGTGGGGAGCTGGGAGGGAGACCAGCACAGGGCGGACCCAGCTGCCCAGCACAGCCCTCTCCTTCTTTACCACTGCCCCATCCAGCACCAGTCCCATGCCAGTCACCGGGCTCACAGAGCCAAGACACCTCCCCCCTCCCCAGCTTCATACCTGGGTGGGGGAACAAAGGACAGCCAAGAGCCTGCTGCAGCCCGCCTGCCCTGCTGAGCTGCAGAGGAGGCCCCTCCTCCTCCTCCTTGTCCTCCCCTCCCTCAGGAGGCCAAAGGAGCAATTCCCAGTTACTGCAGGTTGTCTCTCAGTGACCCACCCTATATGAACGTGGGCTGTCCTTAGCAGGTTTGCAAAATACAACACTGCTCATGCTACATTGGAAATGCTTTTCATGCTTTACAATGGTGGGGACCTCGGAGATGAGTGAGGAGGCCAGAGGAATTGTTGCAGGGGTTACGAATCACAGTAAATGTTATTTTCCACCGCAGCTAGTGTCAGCTCAGAGATGAATGCACACACAGAAACAACGGCAGAATCCAAGCTTTATTACGAGACCTGAGGTGGTGCAGTTTGGGTATTCTCGCTTCAGTAGGCCATCGTGAGTGTTAACATCACAACACACAATACTAGCCATTGAGTCTAGGGTATGGCTTAATGGTAGAGCAGCTGATTAACAACACTAGCCAGGCAACAGCAGCTCATGCCTGTAATCCTAGCTATTCTGGAGGTTGACAGCTGGATGACAGAAGGCAAGCCAGTCAGAGAAGCTCACTAGACTCCATCTCCAAAATAACCAGCAAGAACCGGGCACTGGTGGCTCTCACCTGTCACCCTAGCAACTCAAGAGGCTGAGATCTGAGGATCATGGTTCAAAGCCAGCCTGGGCAGCGAAGTCGGTGAAACTCTTATCTCCAATAAACCACCAGAAAACCGGAAGTGGCACTGTGGCTCAAGTGGTAGAGTGCTAGCCTTGAGCTGAAGAGCTGAGGGACAGCGCCCAGGCCCAGAGTTCAAGCTCCACAACTGACAAAAAAGGCAAAAAGCAAGGCTGGAGGCATGGCTCGGGTGGCAGAGCACCAGCCTAAGGAGCCCAAGGCACTGAGTTCAAACCCGAATGCTGTGAAAAATAAACACAAAAACCAAATAATACTAGAAATTTTTTTCTTGAACATTTTGTAGAGAAGGGAAAATTTGGTCTTGACAAGTCTTTCACTATTGTATCTCATATTGGATATTTTAAACGCTATTGTGATGTTTTTATTGTTATTTTTTTTCTTCTGAGGAAGTCACTAATTCCTGTTTCCTAACACAGCTCCAGTTCTCCCAACACTGATGGTTTGAAAACATACTAAGAATTAATAATGATGATGATGATGATAACAATAATATCATCAAACACTTAAGGAAGCCAAGAGTAACATGTCCAGGAGGAAACTACCTATTCATTCCATCCCTCAGGGATTGTAGAGGATAGACTTACATGTTATAAAATATTCTCTCATAAGTATTTATCCAGCCAGGTGCTGTGGCCCAGGCCTACTTCCTTTTGGAGGGTGGGTTTTAATTTAGTCATAGGGGCTCCCCCTCATCTCCTTCCCTGGCATTGCACCTGATCCCATGATGGCATGTGCAGGCCCTGTTGGTTGAGTGGGCACCCCGGAGCATTAGGGGAAGACAACTCTAGCACAGCTTGAGGTGGATGACACCTGAGGGGAATGAAGTTGCTAAGGAACATTGCAAAATGAGTAAGTGTGAGCCAGGCCTGGTGGTGCCTGGTGGTACCTGTGCCTAATTCCAGATGTTCAGGAAATGATGGGAGGAGGATTGTGAGTTTGAGGCCAGCCTGAGCAATGTCTCAATAAATAAATAAATAATAAATAAATAAATAGGAATACGAAGGAGACTCCATATTTTCTTTCTTTCTTCTTGATTCTGTGCTTTGCTACTCACCCGCCCCAGAGGAGAATGGGACCTTAGGAGCACTTGCTGGAACAGCCAATCAGGCCCCTTGGGGGCCCTTCCCGGAAGGTGGATGTGGTTTCAGGCAGCGTTATATGGGCTTTGAGATAAGGAAGTACAGAAGGAGAGAAAGGAAATACATTTCAGCTGAAGGTTCTTTTTTTCTTTCCTCTTTCTTTCTCTTTCCTCCTCCTCTTCATCTTCTTTTTCTTCTTCTTCCCTCCCTCCAGATCTGGCACATGGGCTTGGGGTAGCTAGCCACCCAAATGTCTAGCAATATCATAGTCCAAAGCCAAGTTTTAGTTTAGTCAGCAATCAAGTTGATACCTTTAGCCATGCTTTAGAGTCTTCTTTTATAGCAGCTTCTTCTTCAAAATATTAGGTAGATGGCCAGTCTGTGAACTAGTATTTAAGGTTGAAGGTCTTATTCTAGAGAAATCTTTGTGTGTGTGTGTGTGTGTGTGTGTGTGTGTGTGTGTGTGTGTGTGTGTGTGTGCTGGTAATGGGGATTGAACTCAGAGACTGGTGCTGTCTTTTAGCTTTTTTGTTCCAAGTGAGCATTCTACCTCTTGAACTACAGCTCTACTTCTGGCTTTTTGCTGGTTAATTGGAGATAAGCCTTTCCTGCCTGAGCTGGCTTCAAACCATAGTCTTCAGATCTCAGCCTCCTGTGTAGCCAGGATTACCAGTTATTGGTGACTGGCTTACAGAAATCTCTTAAAGAATAATAAAAACAAGGCCTTTGGGTTCTACAGAATGTTTTGACTACTTTTTCACACTCTGTTTTCATCTGTGTACAATTTGATCATGTCACCCTGGTCATATAGATGACACTAGGAAAAAGTCTATGTGATAGATCAGTATTTTCTGAAAATTCACCAAAGCCTCTGCTTCCTAATGGGCCTCCAGCCCAGGAGATGGTGCCCCCTGGTCTGTGTTGATGTCGATGACTAGTAGCTCTGAAATACTGGAGGATAAAAATCTGAATCATTTATTCTCTTAAGAATGAAGCAAGAAGGCCACATTCCTACCCTTGCTTATATACAATGCAGGACAAAGAAAGATGAATTCCAAGGATAATTTGCTTTATCAAGGTTAGGAAAGGGCAAGGTGCATTAACATCCATATACATAAAAGGGAAGAAGATGGAAGCCTGTGAACGCACCAGATACAGTTCTACCCATCACAGACAGTGGTTCACTGGCTGTTGTCAGTGGGTTTGGCCAGACTTGGGACCCATCTGGCCAGCTTCCAATGAGAGGATGATCTCTGGTTTACAGCTGTTGCTGAAGTTTGATGAAATCATAATTAGGAAAGAAAGGTTTAGAACTAAAAGAAACCACAGCATAGCTCTGTGGCAATAATCTCCACTGTTAGACCCATGCATCAAAGAAAATGGTCAGGGAATCCACAGATGTCACTGGGCTCTTTTTTTTTTGTTGTTGGTCATGGGACTTGAACTCTGGGCCTGGGCACTGTCCCTGTGCTCTTCAGCTCTAGGCGAGTGCTCTACCACTTGAGCCACAGCACCACTTCCGGTTTTCTGGTGGTTTGTTTATTGGAGATAAGAGTCTCACGGACTTTCCAACCCCAGTAGCTTCCAACCACCATCCTCAGATCCCAGCTTCCTGAGTAGCTAGGATTACAAGCACAAGAGTAGATTTGCTAATTTGCTTCCAAAAGATGTATTCTCAGAATTTCCTGAAAATAGGATTCTGTTGCCTGTAAGATGTCATATATAATCCTGATCAGATGATCAGGCAAATTCTTTCATATCCCATTCCTTATCACATTCCAAGTTCCTTATCAGTTTCTCAGAGAAATTGATCTATCCCTGGATAAAGGTGGCTCATAGCTATAACCCTAGCTACTCAGGAGGCTGAGGTCTGAGGATCATGGTTCAAAGCCAGCCTGGGGTGGCTTTTAAGCACAAGTTTCATTAGTGGGAACAAAATATCACTATCATTAATAGTGATATTAATATGCCTGCTCAATGAAGGAAATGAATGAGACAATGTCATTATTCCTTTATTTGAAACAAAATTTGGAAAAAGAGAACTTAGATTTCATGAGATGTTACAGGCCTTTCATTTGATAATACTATAATTAAAATGCAATAGCATAGGTTGAGAGAAAAGAGGGAGAACAATGGAAGGGAGCCACCAATCACGACTCATTGTATTTATAAACTGGCATATTGAATTCAACACCCTTTGTACCACTCTCTACAGATAATTAAAAAAAACATAAAATACAATAGCATAGAGAAAATGTTACAAACAGATGACTTCAACTGAAAATTTGGGTCTGAATTCCAACTGATTAAAATTATGCTTATGCAAAAAACAAGCATGCAAGTATTGACATATTCATGAGCAGAGATTTGTTTTTGACGATTTATTCACTGGAACTTTTTATGATGAGATTTCCTTCCTGGAATGATGCGGCATAATTTATCGAAGACCCCAATTTACACGTTTATTTCTAGTTTAATTTTGTATCTTCTTTGAGTTTTGTTCCTTCATAGTCGCTCATGGTGAACACATTTTCTTCGACTACTCTTCTGTGAGAATTGTAAGAGGAAACACAAAACAGTAGAAGAAGACACGGTTACACTCAATTCCAACAATAAATTATTGCATACATAATTCACATTAAACTCTGTGAAGTCGTATCATATCAAAAGAGGGGTGGTGCCTTGCTCAAGATTACACAGCTAGCCAAGGTTCTGTCATGGATTTGAATCCATCCTGGCTCTACATCTGGAATTATTGTACCATACCCACTCTAGCACCCATACAGAGAAGTACAATGTAGAATATTATTCAGCCATAAAGAAGAAGGAAATAATGTCATTTGTAGGAAGATGGATGGAACTGAAGGTCATCATGTTAAGTGTAGTAAGCCAGACTCAGAAAAGATAAATACTGAATAAATCCTGATCCGTTATTTCTTGTCTTAACTCAGGCTATTTCCCATCCCCAAAGGAAGAAAGCCAGACAAGTATTCACACCCACCTTGCAGAACTGTTGTAACTGAACTCAAGGGTATGTCTGTGTTGGGCAGGAAGGTAGGTTGCATGTCCACTGAGTTTTTCTGTGAATGAAACCCAGAACATTATCAGCGCCACAATTTTCTAAAGCAAAGACACCAAAAATTCAAATGTGTCTTTAGACTAAAACATTTTTCCAAAGTGTCTTTTCTTTCTTTTCTTTCTCTCCCCTCCCTCCCTCCCTCCCTCCCTCCCTCCTTCCTTCCTTCCTTCCTTCTTTCTTCTTTTGTCTTAGTCCTGGGACTTCAACTCAGGGCCTAGGTACTATCCCTGAGCTTTTTCACTCAAGGCTAGCACTTGTACCACTTGAGCCACAGCTCCATTTCCAACTTTTTGGTAGTTAATTGGAAATAAGAATCTCATTGATTTTCCTGGCTGAACTGGCTTTGAAGTGAGATCCTCAGATTTCATCCTCCTGAGTAGCTAGGATTACAAGCATGAGCCATCAGTGCCTGGTGAAGTTTGTTTTAGTGAAATTTACATGGTAGAGTTTATTTTAAGTCTTGATTTCATAGGGATTTACATTTCTGTATTTAAATTTAATAGGGTTTAAATTTATATTTGTATTTTAAATAGCGTATGGTGTTTAGTAGGTACAATATTACCCCATATTCTTGCTTTTTCTTGTTTTCCTGATATTCAAATAAATAGTAAAAAAAAGAAATAAAAATAAAGAGGAGGTATGATTTCTTAGTCATGTTGACTGGTCATATTTTTTTTTTCTCTCTCTCTCTTTCTCCATCCATCATGCATAGATATTTATAGAGAAAATTTGCTGAATTTTGTGAACTATTTCATTAACTCCTCCCCCGCCAATTTTAGAACATTGACCAGAGTTTTTTATGTTTTGATTATTTTTTGAATAGGGCCTTGTGGTTTTATACAGGGCCTGTCTCCAACTTCATTCTGACCTCTGCCTTCAGAGAGGGTGGAGTTAGAGGTGTGACCACCAAGTCTAGCTGTATATGGTGTCTTAAACTACTTAGGCAGAAGCTCATATAATCTGCAAGGCTCTGTCATGTGGCTATAAAACTAGGCTAATGACTGAAAACAAAATTACATGCTAAAAACTCATGGGTAGACTGAAAAATTTGTTTCAGGAAATGAGAAAAATGGAAAAAAAAAGCAAAAGTTTTAAACATACCAAAGTATGTCCTATTATTTGAAACATTTTGTCTGAAAATTAAATAAAGTAGAAATTTGATTAATTCATCTCTATCCATAAATATATACAAAATAATATTTGGGAGATCATCCAATTGGGTCGATTTATGTTGGGGAAAATCATCTTCAATTGGGCAAATGAAGAAATCTGTTAGAGTGGCTCTATGTTATAATCTGTAAAAAGTAGAATTTCATGCAGTATTTTTCTAAAGAATATTCTAAAGCATATAATTGTTGTTTATACTGGTACTTAAAGCATGGTTAAAATCTGAATTTTTGCTAGGTGCTGGTGGCTGAAGTTTATAATCCTAGCTACACAGGAGGCTGAGATCTGAAGATCATGGTTCAAAGCCAATCCAGGGAGGGAAGTTCCTGAGACTCTTCAATGAACCACCAAAAAGCGAGAAGCATTGCTGTGCTTCACTCTCTTTGATTGAGCATGCTCAGAAACAGCCTTGACTAGCCTCAGGACCAGTATGCATGCATGCGCGTGTGTGCGCACGCACACACACACACACCACACACACACACACACACACACACACACCACACACACACCACACACACACCACACACACACACACACACACACACACACACACACACACATACACACACACACACACACACACACCACACACACACACACACACACACACACACACCACACACACACACACACACACCACACACACACACACACACACACACACACCACACACACACACACACACCACACACACACACACACACACACACACACCACACACACACACCACACACACACACACATACACACACACACACACACACACACACACACACACACACGAAATCCAAAACAACCCCCAAACTGAATTCTCACCTTTGTCAGCCGTTTGATTAAAAGAGCAATTAAAAGGATGGTCCCAATGATACCAAACATCACTCCAAAAACAATGGCTATTATCACTGTGAGAGAAAAGCGAATAGCAAAATCACACACATGTGCCAAGAATCACCCCCTCATAGTTGGAGAATCTAACTGGTGAACTGAGGGAAGCATCGCATAGAACGTACATGAGTGCTGTATAATATTCCTCCAGACACTGTTATTTTAAGAGTGACTTTGTGAGAAACTGAGCTGTGGATGATAAAAAGTTTTACTCAGGGACACAGAACTATTTATTGATAGAGCCAAGATCTTTTTTTTTTTTTTTTTTGTCAGTGGTGGGGCTCAAACTCAGGGCCTGGGCGCTGTCCCTGAGCTCTTGTGCTTAAGGCTAGCATTCTACCACTTCAAGCCACAGATCCACTTCTGGATTGGACATAGAAGTCTCTCAGGGACTTTCCTGCCCAGGTTTGCCTCAAACCATGATACTCAGATCTTAACCTCCTGAGTAGCTAGGATTACAGGTGTCAACTACCAGCGCCTGGCTAGAACCAAGATCTTGAGGCTCTGATTCTTGAACATGAAGAGAGGATGTGAAATTTTAGTGTATCTAGGGAAATCACACAGATCACAGATTCACAAGTTTGCCAGGAAATTTACACGCGAGTAAACAAAACTTAATGAAGGTAGAGGAGGTTCCATCCTCATGGTACCTTTGCAGCCCTGCTTTAGTGAAGCCCACAGAACTGAAGGACAGACAGACAGATTTGTTTGGCCACGTTATGTCTGAAAGGCCTATTCTTGATTTCAAATGCTAAAAGAGGTTTTAGAAAAGACTTTCCCTCTTCCTGGAGTTATCCAGTTTTGTCATCCACTCGGCTATAATTTTTGACTCTGATCAAGTATTACCATCCATTTTTTTTCTTATGTGGGGAAATAGTACATCAGTACATCAATGAACCAAAGCCCCATGTATGGAGGCGGGGAGGGGAGCAGGAAGTGGTATCACTTACATCTGAGGTTGTGAAGATCACCCCCTAGTGGAAGCATGGACCAAATGTGGAAGAGAGAGAGAGAGAGAGAGAGAGAGAGAGAGACAGACAGACAGACAGACAGACAGACAGACAGACAGACAGACAGACAGAGACCGACAGAGACAGAGAGACAGAAAGACAGAGACAGAGAGAGACAGAGAGATCTCTAATTTTTAGATAATGCTAATTAATTGGATGGTTTTTAGGCAAGCTCCTTGTTCACTTTATATTGGGGAGGACAGAAATTCAATTATTTTATCAACTCAGTGATGTTTTCTCAAGATCTCATGGTTGAGGAGAAAGCTAAAAAATTAAGAGAAGCAGGATCAAATTATGCACTACTGTTTCCAAAGTGTTTTTAAAAGAAGAAATGATTCTTTCAAAGTTGAGATGTTAATGACACATGCTTTTCTGTCTTAAAATGGGCACTTCTTAATTCTTAGGTATCTGAAACACACAACAAACGATTTGAAATGGGACTTATCAGTCTGCCACAGCTATTCACATACCTGGTTCTGAAAAAATGTGTTTAAGTTGTTTCCTCCCTTCAAAGAAGACAAAAGTTCAAAATAAGTCAGAATGAACAGACTACATCAAAAAAACATTTTAAGCACCATTTTAGAATTAGATTGTTGAATGGGTTTCTTACTGCTCACATAGGTATTTAAACCTTTTAATTATTATCAATAATAAGTCATGCTGCATTGTCTGATGTGGTCAAGAATTTGGTTATACTTCTGTCATCCTTATGGGTTATGTGTTTTCTGATGCTGTGTGTGTTTGTAATTTTGTGGGTGAGATGAAGCCGATTGCTCTAGGTTCTTGTGAAAATGAATGAATGAATGTAGGAAATGTTCCTGTAGTGCTGTCCTGTGCTCGTCTGTGTATTGTTTATGCAGTGAGGGCACGTTGCACATGGGTCTTTCAAGTCTGATACCTTGTCCCAGGCTCCCTCTGAGCTCATGTTAAGCTGAGATTGTGTTGTTGGCCCCAAAAGCCAGGTAATGAGTTGTTAAGCACTTGGCCTAATTTTTCTCCCTTAGCCTGTGCTCTTTTTAAAATCCATTTCTTCCATTTATTTCCCTGCATTTCTCAGTGGTTCTGTGTCTTCCCATCCCCATGAGGTGAATTTAAATCTGAAGTATCTTTCCTAAGCCCCTCCCAAGAAGCCCCTCTCTCTTTCTTTTTAATCATTAAGCAGGTCTGGTAAAGTCACCATCTCTCTAGAAAGAGGGCAGATGTGCCTGTCATTTATCTCAGTGACCAGCCAGGCTCCCTGGAGGCCCTGGGGCTACGCCAGGCTCTGAGCTACACACTCTTATTGGTGTCTTCGTTAATGTTTAGAGGAACACTGGAGGCAGGACTTGGTGGCTTCATTTTAGAATTGAGGAACAGAGGTTGTGGAAGGCCATGGACTCTGTCTGCAGCAGGGCCAGGCCCTCACCCAGCAGGCCCCGCCCCTCTGCTCTTACTGGCGGAGCTCAGGTTCACAGTCTGCTCGTATTGGCTAGTTCAAATAGGGCAAAATGCAGTTACTCAAAGTGACTTTGAAATAACATTAGCAGTGCCCAGGTAGTCTCAAAATATACCCACATTCTGCTATTTCTTGAACAGCCTGACGCGTGGCTTGGTTCGGTCTTGAAAAGAAATCAGTTTAAGACAAAACTCTACATCTCAAAAGATCCTTCCTGGTCCCCGAGCAGCTCCCTCTTCCTCACACGGCTGTGATTTCTTGTAACTGTACTGTCATCTCTGTGTGGTGAGATGCGAGCATTCCTTTGCCATGTTGGTGTGGCTGCCTGGCCTGCCGTCCACCTAGCCTGCCAGTCTCGGTATTGGTCACACTATTCATGTAGTCACTGGTTGGGTCCCGTGGAATAAAACTGCATCACAATTGGGACTCTAGATCAACGATGTAAAGACGAGAGAACAAACCTGATGGGTCGGGTCCTGGAGTGACACCGTGTTCAGTGGCATTCACTGTAGCCCTGAGCCTTACATCAGCACCTGTGAGGGAAAGAAGTTCAGGGGTCTGAAGGCACCAGAAAGCACTCAGGGGGAGTGTACCCAGGGGTTAGTATACTTGGGCATAACATATTCATACTTGGTGGTATTATACTCAGGTATAAAGTGCTCAAGTGTAATGTACTTAGTGATAATATAGTCAGGGACCATTATACCCAGGTATAACATACTCAGGTATAACATACTCAGGTATAACATACCCAGGTATAACACACTCAGGTATAACATACTCAGGCATAACACACTCAGGTATAACATACTCAGGTATAACATACTCACCCAGGTATAACATACTCACCCAGGTATAACATACTCAGGTATAACATACTGAGGCATAACATACTCAGGTATAACATACCCAGGCATAACACACTCAGGCATAACATACTCAGGTATAACATACTCAGGTATAACATACCCAGGCATAACACACTCAGGCATAACATACTCAGGTATAACATACTCAGGTATAACATACTCAAGCATAACATACTCACCCAGGTATAACATACTCACCCAGGTATAACATACTCAGGTATAACATACTGAGGCATAACATACTCAGGTATAACATACCCAGGCATAACACACTCAGGTATAACATACTCAGGCATAACATACTCAGGTATAACATACTCACCCAGGTATAACATACTCAGGTATAACATACTCAGGTATAACATACTCAGGTATAACATACTCAAGCATAACATACTCACCCAGGTATAACATACTCAGGTATAACATACTCACCCAGGTATAACATACTCAGGTATAACATACTCAGGTATAACATACTCAAGCATAACATACTCACCCAGGTATAACATACTCAGGTATAACATTCTCACCCAGGTATAACATACTCAGGTATAACATACTCAGGTATAACATACTCAGGCATAATATACGCAAAGATATATACTCAGGTATAACATACTCAGGCATAATATACGCAAAGATATATACTCAGGTATAATAGACTCAAGGTAGTAAAATCAGATATAACACACTCAGGGATAATTATATTCAGGGATAATATGCTCAGGTATAATCAGGCCTGATGGTTTTTAAGATAATAGAAGAGTCACTCTTTTGAGGTTTGGCAATATTAAAATGACAAAAGTAATATTTTCTTTAAGAATCAGCGGAAGTATACAAAAATTGCCAAAATGGATCATTCATAAAGAAAAAAAATCTATATCTCTTAGTAAATGTAGACATGAACTATAGTTTAGAACAGAATATGGACTGTCAATTATAGTTTCACAAAGGCATGTAAATTGAGGAAATTAAGTCTATGTATGAATGTACTACAAAATTATGTAGAAGCCAGGCACTGCTGGCTCATGTCTATAATCCTAGCTACTCAGGAGACTGAGATCTGAGGATTGCAGTTCAAAGCCAACCCAGGCAGGAAAGTCCATGAGACTCTTATCTCCAATTAACCACCAGAAAACTGGCTCCAAGTGGCAGGGTGCTAGACTGGAGCACAAAGCTTAGGGATAGAGCCCAGGCCCTGAGTTCAAGCCTCACAACCGACAAACAACAACAAACCTATATAGCAAAAAATAATCAAGAGATATTGAGGTCCAGAAGAAATGCATAGACATTTAACCCAATTTGTGCTCAGTTTAAACATCAGCCACAGGCTCAGCTATCGACACCAGGCAGCATCCAGCCTCTGCGGGGTGAAGACGCGCCCAGATAGGCAACCTAGCTGCAAACAACGCACCCGCCCTCCAGAAAGCCTTATCACTCCTTGGCATGGCTGTGGGTGAGGAAGGCCGGGCCCCAGGTCTTGCAGGGAGAGCAGAGCAGAAGAATTTACATGAAGAATAGAGCAGAGCCTTCACCAGCAGGACTAACAGCTCTTAAAGCCAGCACCTTATAAAAAGCCAGGCAGGAGGAAAAGAACACTTTAAATCGACACACAGAGTATATGTAACTCTTTGGTATCAGAATAAGAAACCAGTTGGGAAGAGAGAGAACATTACAATAGGTTTTAAACTTGATTACACTCATTTTGAACTCCTAGCAGCTTCATAGACTTTCTTTACCTCTTGGGAAAAGAGCACCTAGTATTCAGAAGTAGAAGGCAAATCGCCAAAAGGCCAAAATGGTACCCAAGTTTTGAGAGCAGGAAGGAGGCAGGCTCTGATGGTGAGTGAAATGTTTCCCACCCAACGTCTACCTCGCCTGAGTCAGAATGGCTGCCATCAAGAAAGCAGCCAGCCACCAATGCCAGCCAGGGTGCCGGCTCAAAGGAACCCTGCGCTGTTCGTGAGGATGGAAAGTCGTGTAGCCACTGTGGAAATCAGTACGGAGGTGTGTCAAAATGTGACTGCCACAAGCTCGTGCTATCCCTTCCTGGCCTCTATCCAGAGCACACTCAGATGCCCAAGAGCCAGTCATTGCATAACAAATATGTAGCACATACAAAAATTAGGTATAAAGGAAGATGAAATCTTAGTGTTGACAGGAAAATGGATAGAAATGGACACCAGAAAGACAAATAGCATACATTTTTCTCTCATATGTACAATCAACACTTAAAAAAATAACAATTATGATATGGCATGATCATAAAAGAAGGACTGTTTAGCTCAAAGTAGGGGACCACTGGGGGAAAAAGAAAGGGAAATGAAGGTGAATATGAATATGATAGAAGTGTGTAATCATAGATAGTATATTAGATACTATACAATATATACCATATTAATACACACTATACTGTACATAGTAGAGTGTATATTATATTGTATATTTTAATTCATATATATAGAGAAAATAGAACTATCACATATATTATGCTATTTTCATATCTATTTATAGCTATATAGAGAGAATAGAACTATGATATATACATACATATATATGGATGAAAATAGCATAATTAAATCCACTAAAACTGTCAGAAAGGAAGGAGAGAGGGAAGATTGGAAAGAATAATAGAAGGTATAACTTTGGCCAAAGTATGCTATATGCTTGTATGGAAATAATACAGGGAAGCTCTTTTGAACAACTAATTCATGCTAATAAAAACTGTCCTACATTAGATCATAGACTCTGTTCTTCCCGCCCAGATTCAGACCTTCACTTCTATCTCACAGTGTCCTGAACAACTGTCAGGACTTGAGGCAGTTTCCAAAATTTGGGTACACTTTATCCAAGTCTCCCCCGAACCCCTGTCCTCCCCTCTGTGCCCTTACAAAGAGTGAGTGACAGGGAAACTTTCTGCTTGGTTCCCAGAATTCTGCACCTGCTTTCATTCTCTAGCTGTAGCTGCTTTGATACGATTCCTTCTGATAGTTGTCTAAGTCAACAGAGTAAGGAAATGCGTCCACAAATGCCCTCAGATAATCTGATAAAAGGTTGTTGAGACCATTCCCTCCATGCTCCACCGGTGGCAGCTGACCTTGAGATGACCTTCACTGCTGCTCTGTTGGCTGCACCTCCCACACCCTACCACCTGCTCCAGACCTTGTCCGCACGACTTCCTCTCTGTCTTAGCATGTTACTCAGTGAGCACGTGGTACGTTGTACCCCACGTGCAGCTCAGTTCTTCTGAGATCCCCGGAGAATTCTCCTCAGAGCCAGAATTTTTCAGAGCAATCACGTGGTCTTGACTTTGATGACTTGGACAATATGGCTAAGCTCTCTGGGCTGTGGCCATGGAGGAGAATGCTGTTGCTCTGGCGATACCAACCTGAGGGGCATTTGCTCGGCCTGTCCCTCCTCCCTCCCTCTAGTGCATCCTCAGTCCACCTGAAAACCCTCACCTCTCTGGGATGAAGCCGGGCAGACATGTGGCTCGAGTGGAGGCGCTTTGGCTGGGCAGGGAGGTGGGGGGGGGGGAGGGGGAGGGCTCCACCCAAGCCCTCACCCCAGGCCTACTTGCAAATGAATCTCTGCTGGAACTGAAGGTGGTTGTTCAAGGTGGAGATTGGGAAGAGGGGATTAGGATAAAGACTAAAATGTGGAGGGGGAGAGAGAACAAGGGGGGGGGGGTAGGAAGGGAGGGAGGGGGAGGGAGGGAGAGGGAGGAAGAGGGAGGGAGGGAAGGTAAGTGCTCAGGAAATGATTTGTGAGCCTCAGCCGGACAGGAGGCAAATTGGTGCATTGAAGGTAGCCTTGGTCAAACACTTGGCTTAAAATTTGTCATCTGAGTCACTGTAATGGAATTTTCCATGCTGCCTTGTATTAAGTACTCCACATAGTGGGGGTCTGTGGCTCCTGCTTGTAATCCTGGCTATTCAGGAGGCTGAGATCTGAGGATTGTGGCTAAAGCCTGTCCAAGCAGGAAAGTCCCCCGAGACTTCTTTTCTTTTTTTTTTTCCTTTTTTTTTTCTCTCTTCTTTTCTTTTCTGTTGGTCATGGGGCTTGAACTCTGAGCCTGGGCGCTGTCCCTCAGCTCTTCAGCTCAAGGCGAGCACTCTACCACTTGAGCCACAGCACCACTTCTGTTTTTCTGTTGGTTTATTGGAGATAGGAGTCTCACGGTCTCTCCTGCCCGGGCTGGCTTTGAACCGTGATCCTCAGATCTCAGCCTCCTGAGTAGCTAGAATTACAGGCATGAGCCACCAGTGCCCGGCTTTGGGACTCTTTAATTAACCACCAAAAAATTAGCAATGACCATGTGGCTGTAAGCGGTAGAGTGCTAGCCTTGAGCGAAAATGCTCAGGGACAGGTGCCCAGGCCCTAAGTTCAAGCCCCACAGGAAAAAAAAAATGCTCCACATCACGGCCTGAACTAAGTAGGGTGGAATGTAATTTTCGACCTCCCAGAAAGTTAAGTGCTGCACAGACCGCCAGTTACCTTTCACTTACTTAACGTTCATATGTGTTTACTTGTGGATGCAGTTACACATGTGTTTCTTTTGCCCTTCCATAGGAAGGGCTTTTAACTGGACATTGGTTGAATACACTGCATGCTGATTATTATCACTCCCTCCATCTCCCCATCCCTCCCCATTTCCCTCCATCCCGCTGGTTCCCTTCCACGCGTGGGGGTGTGATGGTTTACCTCCATGGTCTCCCCTGATTTGACATCAGTGACTCAGGATTACGCTCAGCCTTTGAGGCGTGGGTGCTGGTGACACAGAGTTAACAGGGTCTCTGTTGCCTTTCTGTGAAGCCACGTTGGTGTAGTGGCTTGTGAGGGATGTGGGGGGGAATAGAGCACCAGCCTCCTCACTACTCTTCATGCTCCGTTTTTCCCAGACCGGGAGGCTTTTCCCAGGGGTTGTCATTTCAAACATACCACATACACAGAAACATGATAAGGGTGTGCGGTGCTGAGAAAGCCACCCGCTCCCTGCAGTTTGCACCAGGAGTGATCCCTCCAAGCACGCACCCCATCTGGCTAGGAGAAGCTCAGCACTTGGATCTCACAGCAGCACCCCGCCCAGAGAGACAAGCCTCCAGCAGCTTCCAAGCCAGAAAGGACTTCTAAGTACAGTGTTCCTGGCCTGTGATCCTCGTGAAGACTGCTAAGTGTGTTTGTAGAAAGTTTAGATGGTCCATTTGCAACCAAGCTAGGACAAGACTCCTTCCCGCTGGCTACCCACACAGCACACCTTCTGCCACACCTCCACATTGCTTTCCACTAAATGGGCCGCTTGCCAGATGGGCACCGTGCCAAAAGCTGTTTGAGAACCATGGCCGGAAGGTGCTATTTAAAGGAGTAATCTGGATTTGCTCTTAAGCTGAAAGGTTGATGAGGTCAGTTTGGGTCAGATTGTAAAATATCCTGTCTGCTATCATTGCTCTTTCTTTCTGTTTCTCTCTCTCTCTTTCCTTCCTCCCTCCTTCCCTGCCTCCCTCCTTCCTCCCCCTCCTTCTTCCCTCCCTCCCTTCCTTTCTTCTTTCCTTCCTAACTTCCTTCTCTCTCTTTCCTCCTTCCCTTCCTTTTTTCTTTCCTTTGTTCCTTCCTAACTTCCTTCTCCCTTTCCTCCTTCCCTCCCTCCCTCCCTCCCTCCCTTCCTTCCTTCCTTCCTTCCTTCTTTCCTTCATAACTTCCTTCTCTCTTTCATCCTTCCCTCCCTCCCTCCCTTTTTCTTTCCTTCTTTCCTTCCTAACTTCCCTCTCTTTCCTCCCTCCCTCCCTCCTTCCCTCCCTCCCTCCCTCCCTCCCTCCCTCCCTCCCTCCCTCCCTCCCTCCCTCCCTTCCTTCCTTCCTTCCTTCCTTCCTTCCTTCCTTCCTTCTCACTCTCTTTTTTAGGAGGCTTTTGTTAAACCAGAGCAGTCAATTACAGTTCAGCGAAGGGAACTTCTGAGGGCTCGAGTGCTACCCAGGAGAACGCGGCAGCCTGGTGATTTGGAGGCTTCCCTTGGTCTGAGCAGCTTCCCCGGGCTGTGGCTGTGGCTGTGGCTCACAGCATGGCCTGCTCACCTCTGCCATCTGAGATGCAGAGGCTGAGTGCAGCTGCCAAGTTCTGCTTATCTGTGGGCTGGCAGGCTTTGGCTGCTGCCGCCCCCCCCCCCCCCCCCGGCACTGCCCACCCTCCTCTGGGCGGGGTGAGAAGAGCTGGAAGGTGTAGTCCAGGAGGACAGCACCCAGGCAAGTCCAAGCCCCACAATGGCCACCACCAACACCAACACAAAGCCAAAAGCATGCCCGCACACCCCTGGTCAGCAGGGGAAGGAAGGCGCTTCGTCCACCTGTCAGAAAGACCAGAGGAAGGGCGTGCTGTGATGGCGAGGGCTGGGCGCACGGCACAGCTCCGCTGCCCTCCGATGAAAGGCGCACCACAGTGGCCGTGCACGGCCCGCAGCACGCGTGGGGCTCACACAATGTGTGGGTGTCACACCTGCGTGTGCAGAGCCTTCTGGGACGCGGCATGAGTGCTGGGATTAAAGCGTCCTCATCATATCCCCACCCAAGAAGGCTTACCTTAAGAGTGGATGACACTCCCCCCAAAATACACTGCTACTCTCTCGCAGGCTTGGAGCAAAGCAGAGCTAACTGAAAGGACGTTGAAATGACAATTCACCTGGCATAGCGACTGGATGAGGGGACCCTCAACACAGAATTTTTGGGTGAAAGGTAGAGCAGCGAGCTGTGGTGTTAACAGGGCTGCCATTATTTTCCAGCCAAACATGATTCAGTCTGCTCACGCCCACCGCCCACAGAATCCTCACGGTCCAAGGGGAGTCACCTTTGTGGACGTTTTCTTTCAGGACCTGAGCACTTATTTCTGTCTCTGAAATCTACCTGGTGGTCACCAGCTTAAGGACGCTGGGCTGGCTGTGATGAAGAATTCCCAGGGGACATGGAAACTCTGTCCCCCACGTCCCCGGCCGCTGGCCCGCCCCGTTTCTGGTGGAACAGGTACACAGCAGCCCCAAGCCAAGCGCACCCCCAGCCCTCCGCGCCTGGCGCTGTCTGTCACCTGAGTCAGCCTGTGGAGTCCCAGCAGCTGCTGAAGAGGAAGCAGGGGCGGTGCTCTCCTGGGTTTTGAGGTGCAGAGAGACAGGTTCTGAGGTCGGGATGGCATGCTCACCTGCAACCTCAAACAGTTGTGCTGTTTATATTTTGTTCTTTGTGTGCTTATTTTGTGTTCAATTATAAATAGGATCCCCGAGGGGAAATAAGGGGGAAAAAAAGGCATCAGAGAATCTCCACTGAAAAGATTTAGCTAGCCCTCAAAAAATGTGCAGAATCTCAACATAGTAGCCACCCCGATGTCAGGTACTTCATTAACTACCCTAAAGGGAAGACAAACTCTCAGGAGCCTCTTCCTCTGAATGCAAACAGCTAGAACACTGGGTGACAAGGTTGGAGTAAGGATTCAAGCCCCAAACCTCACTTTTCCTTTCTCCAGGAATAGATACAAAATACAAATGGCCGACGACCACAGTTGACCACTGTGTACAGGGAAACAAAACATTAGAATGTATTCATTGAGAACGCAGACTACAGAATGAATTTCTATTTGTGTGTGTGTGTGTGTCCTGGGGCTTGAACTCAGGGCCTGGAGCTTGCTTTATTTATTTATTTATTTATCCTCAAGCTAGAGCTCAACCAGCTGAGCCACATCTGCACTTTTGGCTTTGTCTGCAAATTTTCATTTTTTCTAAAAGACATATTTGAAATCCCAAATTGTCTGCCCTAACCCTATTAAATAAAAAAACCAAAAGCAGGCAAGCTTTCTCCTGACATGGTTTTGTTAAACAGAGAAATCATTTTCTTTTTTACTGGATTTTTTGATATCATTCAGTGCATAATGCCTAAAATCACAGTAGCTCACAGGTAAAAGTGGAAGGGCTGTATTGGTTCCATGTGTGGAGATTGACAAGTCAAGGTCACAGAAGGTCAAGAGGACAAAGTTCTCTGTTTTCCAACTGGACCAGAAGACACATGGGTGAGCATAACACCTACATTTAGTCCCCTCACACACTGTAAGAAATCCAAAGGTTTCTTCCTGGAACAAGGGAATGATTGTGTTTATCAGTCTGTTGATTATCTCCTCTGTGTTTGGTGGTGCTTGAGTTTGAACTCAGTCGGGCCTGTGCTTGCCACACAGCCTCTGCTCTGCCGGAGCAGCTATGCTCCTCTGCCTTTTTGCTTTTGTTATTTTTTTCTTTTTGCTTATGTGGTGCTGGGGAATCGAACCCAGGGCCTCATGCATGCAAGGCAAGCGCTCTACCACTGAGCCACCTTCCCAGCCCTGCTTTTGTTATTTTTTGAGTAGGGTTTTACCTTTTCCCTATACTAATCTGGCTTGGACTGCAATCCTCTTATTACCATGTCCACACTACTGAGATGACAGGCCCATCCCACTATACTGTTTCTTATTGGCTGAGATCAGGAAGGGGGGAGGGCCTCTCAAAGTTTTTGCCCCCCTGAGCAGCTAGGATTACAGGTGGCAGGCAGCTCTATCTAGTGTCCAGATCCATCTAGCTATTTCTAAAATTATCCTCATCAAAAATGGCAGAAAGTTTAAGGAAGGATTAAAAAGCAGGGGAAAGAAGGTTACCCACAATTCCATCATCCAAAGTAACTCAGGGTCTTCCTTCCTTCCTTCCTTCCTTCCTTCCTTCCTTCCTTCCTTCCTTCCTTCCTTCCTTCCTTCGTTCTTTCCTTCCTTCCTTCCTTCTTTCCTTCCTCCCTCTCTCCCTCCCTCCCTCCCTTCCTCCCTTCCTTCCTTCCTTCCTTCCTTCCTTCCTTCCTTCCTTCCTTCCTTCCTTCCTTCCTTCCTTCCTTCCTTCCTTCTCACTCTCTTTTTTAGGAGGCTTTTGTTAAACCAGAGCAGTCAATTACAGTTCAGCGAAGGGAACTTCTGAGGGCTCGAGTGCTACTCAGGAGAACGCGGCAGCCTGGTGATTTTCAGGCTTCCCTTGGTCTGAGCAGCTTCCCCGGGCTGTGGCTGTGGCTGTGGCTCACAGCATGGCCATCTGAGATGCAGAGGCTGAGCGCAGCTGCCAAGTTCTGCTTATCTGTGGGCTGGCAGGCTTTGGCAGCTGCCGCCCCCCCCCCCCCCCCCCCCGGCACTGCCCACCCTCCTCTGGGCGGGGTGAGAAGAGCTGGAAGGTGTAGTCCAGGAGGACAGCACCCAGGCAAGTCCAAGCCCCACAATGGCCACCACCACCACCACCACCACCAACACAAAGCCAAAAGCATGCCCGCACACCCCTGGTCAGCAGGGGAAGGAGGGCGCTTCGTCCACCTGTCAGAAAGACCAGAGGAAGGGCGTGCTGTGATGGCGAGGGCTGGGCGCACGGCACAGCTCCGCTGCCCTCCGATGAAAGGCGCACCACAGTGGCCGTGCAAGCCCCTCAGCACGCGTGGGGCTCACACAATGTGTGGGTGTCACACCTGCGTGTGCAGAGCCTTCTGGGACGCGGCCTGAGTGCTGGGATTAAAGCGTCCTCATCATATCCCCACCCAAGAAGGCTTACCTTAAGAGTGGATGACACTCCCCCCAAAATACACTGCTACTCTCTCGCAGGCTTGGAGCAAAGCAGAGCTAACTGAAAGGACGTTGAAATGACAATTCACCTGGCATAGCGACTGGATGAGGGGACCCTCAACACAGAATTTTTGGGTGAAAGGTAGAGCAGCGAGCTGTGGTGTTAACAGGGCTGCCATTATTTTCCAGCCAAACATGATTCAGTCTGCTCACGCCCACCGCCCACAGACTCCTCACGGTCCAAGGGGAGTCACCTTTGTGGACGTTTTCTTTCAGGACCTGAGCACTTATTTCTGTCTCTGAAATCTACCTGGTGGTCACCAGCTTAAGGACGCTGGGCTGGCTGTGATGAAGAATTCTCAGGGGACATGGAAACTCTGTCCCCCACGTCCTCGCCGCTGGCCCGCCCCGTTTCTGGTGGAACAGGTACACAGCAGCCCCAAGCCAAGCGCACCCCCAGACATCCGCGCCTGGCGCTGTCTGTCACCTGAGTCAGCCTGTGGAGTCCCAGCAGCTGCTGAAGAGGAAGCAGGGGCGGTGCTCTCCTGGGTTTTGAGGTGCAGAGAGACAGGTTCTGAGGTCGGGATGGCATGCTCACCTGCAACCTCAAACAGTTGTGCTGTTTACATTTTGTTCTTTGTGTGCTTATTTTGTGTTCAATTTTAAATAGGATCCCCGAGGGGAAATAAGGGGGAAAAAAGGCATCAGAGAATCTCCACTGAAAAGATTTAGCTAGCCCTCAAAAAATGTGCAGAATCGCAACATAGTAGCCACCCCGATGTCAGGTACTTCATTAACTACCCTAAAGGGAAGACAAACTCTCAGGAGCCTCTTCCTCTGAATGCAAACAGCTAGAACACTGGGTGACAAGGTTGGAGTAAGGATTCAAGCCCCAAACCTCACTTTTCCTTTCTCCAGGAATAGATACAAAATACAAATGGCCGACGACCACAGTTGACCACTGTGTACAGGGAAACAAAACATTAGAATGTATTCATTGAGAACGCAGACTACAGAATGAATTTCTATTTGTGTGTGTGTGTGTGTGTGTCCTGGGGCTTGAACTCAGGGCCTGGAGCTTGCTTTATTTATTTATTTATTTATCCTCAAGCTAGAGCTCAACCAGCTGAGCCACATCTGCACTTTTGGCTTTGTCTGCAAATTTTCATTTTTTCTAAAAGACATATTTGAAATCCCAAATTGTCTGCCCTAACCCTATTAAATAAAAAAACCAAAAGCAGGCAAGCTTTCTCCTGACATGGTTTTGTTAAACAGAGAAATCATTTTCTTTTTTACTGGATTTTTTGATATCATTCAGTGCATAATGCCTAAAATCACAGTAGCTCACAGGTAAAAGTGGAAGGGCTGTATTGGTTCCATGTGTGGAGATTGACAAGTCAAGGTCACAGAAGGTCAAGAGGACAAAGTTCTCTGTTATTCATATCAGGTCCAGTTTTCCAACTGGACCAGAAGACACATGGGTGAGCATAACACCTACATTTAGTCCCCTCACACACTGTAAGAAATCCAAAGGCTTCTTCCTGGCACAAGGGAATGATTGTGTTTATCAGTCTGTTGAGTTATCTCCTCTGTGTTTGGTGGTGCTTGAGTTTGAACTCAGTCGGGCCTGTGCTTGCCACACAGCCTCTGCTCTGCCGGAGCAGCTATGCTCCTCTGCCTTTTTGCTTTTGTTATTTTTTTTCTTTTTGCTTATGTGGTGCTGGGGAATCGAACCCAGGGCCTCATGCATGCAAGTTAAGCGCTCTACCACTGAGCCACCTTCCCAGCCCTGCTTTTGTTATTTTTTGAGTAGGGTTTTACCTTTTCCCTATACTAATCTGGCTTGGACTGCAATCCTCTTATTACCATGTCCACACTACTGAGATGACAGGCCCATCCCACTATACTGTTTCTTATTGGCTGAGATCAGGAAGGGGGGAGGGCCTCTCAAAGTTTTTGCCCCCCTGAGCAGCTAGGATTACAGGTGGCAGGCAGCTCTATCTAGTGTCCAGATCCATCTAGCTATTTCTTACATTATCCTCATCAAAAATGGCAGAAAGTTTAAGGAAGGATTAAAAAGCAGGGGAAAGAAGGTTACCCACAATTCCATCATCCAAAGTAACTCAGGGTCTTCCTTCCTTCCTTCCTTCCTTCCTTCCTTCCTTCCTTCCTTCCTTCCTTCCTTCCTTCTTTCCTTCCTTCCTTCCTTCTTTCCTTCCTCCCTCTCTCCCTCCCTCCCTCCCTCCCTCCCTTCCTCCCTTCCTTCCTTCCTTCCTTCCTTCCTTCCTTCCTTCCTTCCTTCCTTCCTTCCTTCCTTCCTTCCTTCCTTCATTCCTTCCTTCTCACTCTCTTTTTTAGGAGGCTTTTGTTAAACCAGAGCAGTCAATTACAGTTCAGCGAAGGGAACTTCTGAGGGCTCGAGTGCTACCCAGGAGAACGCGGCAGCCTGGTGATTCGGCGGCTTCCCTTGGTCTGAGCAGCTTCCCCGGGCTGTGGCTGTGGCTGTGGCTCACAGCATGGCCATCTGAGATGCAGAGGCTGAGCGCAGCTGCCAAGTTCTGCTTATCTGTGGGCCGGCAGGCTTTGGCAGCCGCCGCCCCCCCCCCCCCCCCCCCGGCACTGCCCACCCTCCTCTGGGCGGGGTGAGAAGAGCTGGAAGGTGTAGTCCAGGAGGACAGCACCCAGGCAAGTCCAAGCCCCACAATGGCCACCACCAACACCAACACAAAGCCAAAAGCATGCCCGCACACCCCTGGTCAGCAGGGGAAGGAGGGCGCTTCGTCCACCTGTCAGAAAGACCAGAGGAAGGGCGTGCTGTGATGCTGAGGGCTGGGCGCACGGCACAGCTCCGCTGCCCTCCGATGAAAGGCGCACCACAGTGGCCGTGCAAGCCCCTCAGCACGCGTGGGGCTCACACAATGTGTGGGTGTCACACCTGCGTGTGCAGAGCCTTCTGGGACGCGGCATGAGTGCTGGGATTAAAGCGTCCTCATCATATCCCCACCCAAGAAGGCTTACCTTAAGAGTGGATGACACTCCCCCCAAAATACACTGCTACTCTCTCGCAGGCTTGGAGCAAAGCAGAGCTAACTGAAAGGACGTTGAAATGACAATTCACCTGGCATAGCGACTGGATGAGGGGACCCTCAACACAGAATTTTTGGGTGAAAGGTAGAGCAGCGAGCTGTGGTGTTAACAGGGCTGCCATTATTTTCCAGCCAAACATGATTCAGTCTGCTCACGCCCACCGCCCACAGACTCCTCACGGTCCAAGGGGAGTCACCTTTGTGGACGTTTTCTTTCAGGACCTGAGCACTTATTTCTGTCTCTGAAATCTACCTGGTGGTCACCAGCTTAAGGACGCTGGGCTGGCTGTGATGAAGAATTCTCAGGGGACATGGAAACTCTGTCCCCCACGTCCCTCGCCGCTGGCCCGCCCCGTTTCTGGTGGAACAGGTACACAGCAGCCCCAAGCCAAGCGCACCCCCAGCCCTCCGCGCCTGGCGCTGTCTGTCACCTGAGTCAGCCTGTGGAGTCCCAGCAGCTGCTGAAGAGGAAGCAGGGGCGGTGCTCTCCTGGGTTTTGAGGTGCAGAGAGACAGGTTCTGAGGTCGGGATGGCATGCTCACCTGCAACCTCAAACAGTTGTGCTGTTTACATTTTGTTCTTTGTGTGCTTATTTTGTGTTCAATTATAAATAGGATCCCCGAGGGGAAATAAGGGGGAAAAAAAGGCATCAGAGAATCTCCACTGAAAAGATTTAGCTAGCCCTCAAAAAATGTGCAGAATCGCAACATAGTAGCCACCCCGATGTCAGGTACTTCATTAACTACCCTAAAGGGAAGACAAACTCTCAGGAGCCTCTTCCTCTGAATGCAAACAGCTAGAACACTGGGTGACAAGGTTGGAGTAAGGATTCAAGCCCCAAACTCACTCTTACTTTCTCCAAGAATAGATACAAAATACAAATGGCCGACGACCACAGTTGACCACTGTGTACAGGGAAACAAAACATTAGAATGTATTCATTGAGAACGCAGACTACAGAATGAATTTCTACTTCTGTGTGTATGTGTGTCGTGGGGCTTGAACGCAGGGCCTGGAGCTTGCTTTATTTATTTATTTATTTATCCTCAAGCTAGAGCTCAACCAGCTGAGCCACATCTGCACTTTTGGCTTTGTCTGCAAATTTTCATTTTTTCTAAAAGACATATTTGAAATCCCAAATTGTCTGCCCTAACCCTATTAAATAAAAAAACCAAAAGCAGGCAAGCTTTCTCCTGACATGGCTTTGTTAAACAGAGAAATCATTTTCTTTTTTACTGGATTTTTTGATATCATTCAGTACATAATGCCTAAAGTCACAGGTAGCTCACAGGTAAAAGTGGAAGGGCTGCATTGGTTCCATGTGTGGAGATTGACAAGTCAAGGTCACAGAAGGTCAAGAGGACAAAGTTCTCTGTTTTCCAACTGGACCAGAAGACACATGGGTGAGCATAACACCTACATTAATCCCCTCACACACTGTAAGAAATCCAAAGGTTTCTTCCTGGCACAAGGGAATGATTGTGTTTATCAGTCTGTTGATTATCTCCTCTGTGTTTGGTGGTGCTTGAGTTTGAACTCAGTCGGGCCTGTGCTTGCCACACAGCCTCTGCTCTGCCGGAGCAGCTATGCTCCTCTGCCCTTTTGCTTTTGTTATTTTTTTCTTTTTGCTTATGTGGTGCTGGGGAATCGAACCCAGGGCCTCATGCATGCAAGGCAAGCGCTCTACCACTGAGCCACCTTCCCAGCCCTGCTTTTGTTATTTTTTGAGTCGGGTTTTACCTTTTCCCTATACTAATCTGGCTTGGACTGCAATCCTTTATTACCATGTCCACACTACTGAGATGACAGGCCCATCCCACTATACTGTTTCTTATTGGCTGAGATCAGGAAGGGGGGAGGGCCTCTCAAAGTTTTTGCCCCCCTGAGCAGCTAGGATTACAGGTGGCAGGCAGCTCTATCTAGTGTCCAGATCCATCTAGCTATTTCTTACATTATCCTCATCAAAAATGGCAGAAAGTTTAAGGAAGGATTAAAAAGCAGGGGAAAGAAGGTTACCCACAATTCCATCATCCAAAGTAACTCAGGGTCTTCCTTCCTTCCTTCCTTCCTTCCTTCCTCCCTCCCTCCCTCCCTCTCTCTCTTTCTTCCGTCCTTCCTTTCTCTTTCTCTTTCCTTCCTTCCTTCCTTCCTTCCTTCCTTCCTTCCTTCCTTCCTTCCTTCCTTCCTTCCTTCCTTCCTTCCTTCCTTCGTCCCTCCCTCCCTCCCTCCCTTCTTTGTTTCTTTCTTTCTTCCTTTCGTTCTTCTTCCTTTCTTTCCCTTCCCTCCCCGCCCCCCTCTCTTTCAGTCATGAAGCTTTAACTCTGGGCCTGAACACTGTCCCTCAGCTCTTCAGCTCAAGGCTAGCACTCTACCACTTGAGCCACAGCTCCATTTCCTGTTTTCTGAGTGGTTTATTGGTAAGAATCTCATGAATTTTCCTGCAGTTTTGAACTGCAATCCTCAGATCTCAGCCTCCTGAGTTGCTAGGATTACAGGTGGAGCCACTGCATCCAGTTTTTTTTTTTTTGTTGTTGTTGTTGTTGGTCGTGGGGCCTGAACTCTGGGCCTGGGCGCTGTCCCTCAGCTCTTCAGCTCAAGGCTAGCGCTCTACCACTTGAGCCACAGCACCACTTCCAGCTTTTTCTGTTTATGTGGTGCTGAGGAATGGGACCCAAGGCCTCATGCATACAAGGTAAGCGCTCTACCACTGAGCCACCTTCCTAGTCCTGAGGGTGTTTTTTTTCTTTCAATTTTTTAGTTTTGGTTTTAGTGTAGTTCAATAGTTACACACACACACACACACACACACACACACACACACACACACACACACACACTGCCAGATAAGTACTTATTTAAATCTATTTCATGAACAAACATAAAATCCCACCTGGTGTTTCTACAACTGATGTTGCAGTTCCATTATCTTGGGCAATGGCTAATGGGAAAATAGAACCTGCAAAGAGAATGTTGAGAATCACTCAGACATGTGCTTCCCATGCATGGAAGGAAGTAGGAGACAATCAAATGATTCACCTGACCGAGGGTTAAGGTCCAGAATATGTAAGGAATTCAAAAAACTGTACAATCCAAAAACCAGGCACATGATTTAAGCATAGGAAAATGGTCTGAATGGACACATCTCAAAAGAAAAAAAATACAAATGGCCAAGAATTCTATGAAAGGGAATTGCTCACTAGGGGTCAGTCATCCAGGAAACGCCAATCAAAGCTGTGGCTAGAAGGGCTACTATTCAGACTAAAGAAGGAAAACGCTTGAGAGAATGTGTGTGGCCACAGGGACTCCTGCACCTTGCGGGTAAGAACGTCAGTTAGCAACAGGTGCAAATAAAAAACAACCACCACTAAAACCAGTCCTGTTTTATATGGTTCAGCAATCTCTTATGCTTCTGAGTATACTGTCAGAGAAAATGAACTCAAACATGCCCCACACCTAGGTTTGCTCAGGCCTACACAGTCGCTTGCCTATGACATCCACCTAGTAGACTACTGTATGACTAGGTCAAGACAATGTGGTTTAGAAGCACAGTGCTAGTCAGCCATAGACCCAGGTTTATTTCTTGCCTATCATGAATCTACATGGCCAAGACATATTTTAAGAATATGTTTATTATTCATACATACTGAGGCTGACCATTATTATAGCTACTGGTCCTGCATTGTCTGATGGGCATGTGCAGACAGACAGGAGGACCAGCAGCTCCTTTCAGTGTTGCCCAGACTTTGAGCTCTGGAATCACACTTGAACCTACCTGTTCTTCATCATGCCTGTGTGCTCGCTCCACGGGAGGCTCTACCGCACCTCTTCCCTGCGCTTACACCTGTGTTTGCCCAGCCTGATCCTCTCACCTGGCTCACCGCTATGTCTGTGTGCTGAGCACACTTCAGAGAGCGAGAGCGAGAGAGAGAGAGACAGAAAGACAGACAGACAGACAGACAGACAGAGAGATAGAGAGAGAGACAGAGACAGAGACAGAGAGAGAGACAGAGAGAGAGAGAGAGAGAGAGAGAGAGAGAGAGAGAGAGAGAGAACCACATCTTTCTGTGGCTTCAGAGTTCAAATCTCTATTTTGCCCTTCTGTGGGCCAAGTAGGAAGCTGTGTCCTTTGAAAACTAAGGGTTGTATACCTACCATCGCCCGCGCTAATGAGTCTTTAATTTGGAAATGTTTCTCCTCATCACTCAAACTGAAATATCTCTCCTCTTTGGTAAACATGGTTTTGATTCCAAGAAAGGCTTAGGGACAAAGCTGATCGCTCATCCTAGAAACTGTGATTGAGCCCCAAGTATTGGCCACCCCCCAAATATAGGACCCTCCCTTGAACTATTACCACCACATTGCCCACTGAGTCCTGCTAAAACGCACCCGGCAGTCTCGAATTTGAGATACTCTTCATCTATTTATTCACTGAGACACGTGAAGTGGGGTTTGTTCCTAATGTATTGTTTTATTTTTCAATCAGCATACATGTTTAGTAGGAGGGGAGCCATGCTGCTATTTCCATACATGTACACAGTGCACTTTGAACAAACCCACCCTCTCACCTACATTCCTATTTCTCCTCTCCCTCCTCCTTGCCTGCTACCTTCCTTTCTTAAGTCCTTAGTGGCGATTATATGTATATATTATATATACACACATATATATGTATATAATGTCCTTTGATCTTCTTTACCCCATTGTCTCCCCCGCTTTCCTCCTCACCCCCGCAGCTGGTCCCTCCTGGATAGTAGCCTGTGAATTCATGTCCCAGAGCTATGACTGTCATCCTCACCACCACCGAGTCTGTAAGGCACCTTCAATATAAAGGAGCCACTCACCACACAGCAGCCACGCCAGCAGCACGGTCCCACGCATTGTCAGGGTGGCGAGCTGCCTCACACAGGCGTGAAAACGGCCAAGCAGGGCTGCAAGTGTCGCCCTGCACCTCCGCTACACGCTGATATCTTTGGGGCCCAGGCCGCTTTCGTTGGTAGACTTGGGAGGTGTCTAACTTGATACCCAGCTGCTGAGTGCCTGCCAATCAAGATCCACTGCAGAGTCTGAGTTTTTTTTGTTTTTGTTTTTCCAGTCCTGGGGCTTGGACTCAGGGCCTGGGCGCTGTCCCGGAGCTTCTTTTGCTCAAGGTTAGCACTCTACTACTTGAGCCACAGAGCCACTTCAGACTTTTTCTGCTTATGTGGTGCTGAGGATTTGAACTCAGGGCTTCATGCGTGCTAGGCAAGCACTCTGCCACTGAGCCACCTTCCCAGCCTCCGAGTCATCGTAATCTGGGACTGTGGCAGCGGTAATAAATCCTCCCTTTGAGGAACTGGCTGCCATGTGTTAAGTCTGCAAAGTGGTAGCAGGAGCCCCCCTCCCCCTCCCCCCTCCCAGCGGGACAGAGACTTGAGCGGGGTGGGGTGGGTGGGGTGGAAGATGACCCTTCTTTCTCATCAGTAGTGCGGTGGTGCTTGTGCTCCAGGAGAAACACACTGGAAAACATGAATGGCCATTTTCGTGTCTTGGGGTTTGAAAAGACAGAAACACAAGTGTTTTTTTTTTTTTTTTTTCTGTAAGTTTCTTTTAGTCTTGTTTGTTCATCTGTCTTTGGGAGGGGCAGAAGGGGCCCAGGAGAGGAGGGACAAAGGGTGAACAAATGCAGCAGCCGTACTCACTGGACACTTGAAAATCAGCTCTACAACTTTCGGGTGGGGATGGGAGGGAAAACAGAGAGAGAGGGAGGGAGGGAAGGGGTAACACTGTCCAAAAAGAAACAAACTCATTCCCTGACTTACGAAACTGCAACTCCTCTGTATGTCGCCTTTATAATAACCATCAAAAATTTAAAAAAAGTAAAGCTTGTTAAAAATAAAAGGGAAGACAGTGAGAGTAATCTGCCACACCCAGGTGCAGAGGGAAGCGGGGCCGTGGTGCCCTCTAGTGGCATGACTGCAGAATAGAAGAGGGAAAATCAGCCTCAAGGCAACACAGCAGAGGAGATGCCTGGGACAGCGTGCTGTGTCGGGCCCGTCCTTCCCTGACTTCTCTCCATTCTGACTGCAGCGCTTGTTCTGGCTGTGTCTTCGAATCCTTCCCGTGAGACATGTCTTGCACTCGTGTCTGATCAGTCCATCTGTCCTGTGGGAAGTTGCTTGTGAAGCAAACCCTGTGGAGCTGTGACGTGGCACCCGGCGACCTCGCAGTGTGTGGCCCTGGACCCCTGGGCTTTCGCTCAGGGCCACCCCTGCTTCCCGGCCGGGGCTCCGTCTAGGAGAAGAGGAATACGATCTCAGCATTGACCAACCCAGGCCCACACCTTGCTGGACGTTTATTCTTGCCAATGACCAATTCTTCAGCTCCTTGAGGATCACATTCTCCCTGGGGCTGCCTGCTGGTCTGATTGGAGTTTTCTGTTTTATAGGGAGGACGGAGCACAGGGTAGACAGGAAAGTGGAGGCCGGGGTTCGTTTACAGGACTTCTGGGTGCCTGTCCCCCTGGAAATGTCCAGCCTGGCATAATGACTGTTCTCGATCTTGTCCATGAGCGTCTCATTTCAGATTTGACAAATAATTTTTTTTTTAAAACCCACCCATATGCTTAGACATACAGATACTGAGATATCACCACTCACACTGGTTTTAGGTATGAGCACGTTGACGATTTATTTCCAAGTTTTTTTTTTTGTTGTTGTTAAACATATTGGATTAGTTGTCTGTGTTTAAAAGGGGGGGTGGGGTGAGCGAGAGAGAGAGAGAGAGAGAGAGAGAGAGAGAGAGAGAGAGAGAGAGAGAGAGAGAACAGAGAACAGAGCTAGGCAGGAAAGTCTGTGGGACTCTTGTCTCCAATAAACTACTGAGAAAAAGCCAGAAGTGGTGCTATGGCTCAACTGGTAGAGTGCTAGCCTTGAGCAAAAAAGAAGCTCAAGGATTTGTCCAGGCCTGGAAAGAAGAAAGAAAGAAGGAAAGAAGGAAAGGAAGAAGAAAAGGAAGGAAGGAAGGGAGGAAAGGAGGGAGGGAGGGAGGGAGGGAGGGACCCCGACCTTGCCTGGAGATGGGAAACTGGCATTCTTCTCAACTGGGGTTCACCATTTACACCACAGGACACAGGGCAGGAAAGTTCATGAGACTCGTATCTCCAATGAATCACCAGAAAACTAGAAGCAGTGTTGTGGTTCAAGTGGTAGAGCACTCACCTTGAGTTGAAGAGCTCAGGGACAGCATCCAGGCTCAGAGTTCAAGTCCCATGACCAACTGAAAAAAAAATTCCATAATTTGGGAAGTTGAAGCAGGAAGACATAGCAAGGCCCTGTCTATGAAAACAACAGCAACAAATTAGTTTTTTTTTTTTTTTTTTGGGTCGGTCGTGGGGCTTGAACTCTGGGCCTGGGCGCTGTCTCTCAGCTCTTCAGCTCAAGGCAAGCGCTCTACCACTTGAGCCACAGCGCCACTTCCGGTTTTCTGGTGGTTTATTGGAGATAGGAGTCTCACGGTCTCTCCTGCCCGGGCTGGCTTTGAACCGCGATCCTCAGATCTCAGCCTCCTGAGTAGCTAGGATTACAGGCGTGAGCCACCAGCGCCTGGCAACAGCAACAAATTGAACAAAGCAAAACATTCAAAACCCAGAGTGACAAGGAGCGATGGAAGAAGTTGTCTTCAAACACCCAACTGGGTTCTGAACATATTATCTTATCAGTTGGTATGATTTAATAGGTGAGTCATACAGTAATGTTTCTAACGCACTCTCTTCAGTCCACCTCGCAATGGATGCAAGCTGCAGTTTAAAGGAATAGATGGGAAAATCCTGTCATAAGGAAGCATGGTTTCATAAAAGCAAGTAGCATAAGAATTCAATAGCTTCAGTGATTTTGAGGGCTGATGGTCTGGCATTAATTAGCTTGTTTAATACCATACCTAGTGAAAAAGAAAGCCCTGAACCCCCAAAATGACCTAAAACTAATTCCTTAAAAAAGAACCAATATTGGAAAGGAGACATTTATCTGGGGAGAATTTTTTGGAACAAAGTTAATGTCTCTGTATGATAATATGCAGCATTAGTGTGACTCTCCTGTGGAGATTTACTTAGTTGTTCATAGTGAGGCTTGAACTCGGGGCCTGGGCCTTGTCCCTGATCTCCCTGATCTCTTTTTTCCTAAGCTAGCACTCTACCACTTTGACCCACAGCTCCACTTCCGATTTTCTGGTGGTTTATCGGAGATAAGAGTCTCATGGGACTTTCCTTCCTGGGCTGGTTTTGAACCTCGATCCTCAGATCTCAGCCTCTTGAGTCGCTAGGATGACAGGCATCAGCATGGTACAGCTAATGAAGTATTTTATCTAGAGAATAAATTGCTATTCACTATTAATAAAAGTCAGATCCAGTTATTTTATTTCACGGAAGGTATAAAAATTACAAAACAATGTGATTTCTGACTTTGATGAGCTTTTAGAAGGAAAAAAAAAACCCTCTTAAATTTGTTCTTCATATTGACCAGTAGAGGTCGCCAAAGTCATAGACATTATTAGGATTTTTTTCCCTTCAGTTTTTTTTTTTTTTTTTTTTTGAGTCAGAAGGATGCTTCTAGCGTCTCCTGTTAGCATAGTTTTAAGCATTGACTGGAATATCCTTCGCTGCTTAGACTTAAAGAAAGTAAACTGTTTGGATTAGAGTTTCTTTTGAATATTAAATAGTCCTCACAACAGACTGCCATCTATCCCTGGGCCTGTTCAAAACAGCTGGGTGTTTCTGGGCAAAGTGATTTATTTCCTTCTCTGATACCAAAGGGCCTATTGACCGATACCTGCTGAACGTGAGTTCTGAGTAATGTGGTTGAGGCAGACCAGAGTCCCCGGCGGCAGACACTGTGTCAGACGAAACAGCATGGGCCATTTCAAGGAGAAAACGTCGTGCTTTGCTGGGAACATGTGTGGTGGAGAAGGGTGTCAACCAAGCAGAACATTCGAGAACACCCTGGCATCTTTTTGACTAACAGACCGCATCCCAGTTTTGCATGTCAATGATTATTTTTAAACTCCACATTCACTCAAAATTATGGAAAGGTAAGAGAGATCCCAGAGCTCCCTAGGATCGTTAAAGAACCTTTCTCACTTCCAAAGTTTCTTCAAACACAGCTAGAAAAATAGAGTCACAGCAGGGCACTGGTGGCTCATGCCTATAATCCTAGCTACTCAGGAGGCTAAGATCTGAGGATCATGATTCAAAGTCAGCCTGGGTAGGAAACTCCTTGAGACTCTTATCTCCAATGAACCACTAGAAAACTGGAAGTAGAGCTTTGGTTCAAGTGGTAGAGCACTCACCTTGAGTGAAACAGCTCAAGGCACAGTGCCCAGGCCCAGACTTCAAGCCCCATGACCAACAAAAATTAAAAAAATATATAGTTACTATTTAATGCTGTTAGTATGCCGAGCGTCTAGGGAGGTAGGTGTATGCTAATTCACACTGGAGAATGAGGCTGCTACAGCTAATCAAGATGAGCCTTGAATGAAAAAGCCAGGTTAGAACAAGGAGGCTCTGAGTTCAAACCCTTGTTCTGGAAGGTCTCTCTGTCTCTGTCTCTGTCTCTGTCTGTCTATCTGTCTGTCTGTCTGTCTGTCTCTCTCTCTCACACACACACACACACAGGACCCCCAGTGCTTAGATACCTGACAAGTCCAAGGTTAAGGCTTTGCTTTCCAGCCATAAACTAAGAGTCTGCAAGCCAATGTCAAGGTGACACATTTTGCATGCAGGCTTGTTCCTTTCTCAGCGACTTTGATCTCCATTAACTTTGAAGAACCCAAGGTCCCCGTTTTCCATAAGTTGTTTTCATTTTTTTTTTTAAAACAAGCTAAATCAGAAAGACAGGCAAAGAAAAATTGAAACCTTGAAAGACCTGTGAAAACAACGGAACAGAGGCTGCGACGTATTTTCTCCGCC